TAAAATTTACACAATACCAAAATTTAAAGATGTATGCAAATTGTCATAATTTTAATAGCTAATGGTTCAACGTGGTCTAATCAATAGTTAAGAGGATAAAATAAACTCAAGATTATAATTTAATGAATAAATTATAATTTTAAGAATTTAAGTAATATATAAATGTGATCAAAACATAATTTTAGGGGTACAATATATAATTTTAAAAAATTGAGGGGGCTCACACATGGCTCCGCCACTAGTTACCACCACTGTGGGCAAAGTTACCATAACATGACTCCGCCAATGTTCAAATTACAAATATATTATGGGTAAATTTATTGTAGAAATGGATTAAGTACAACTATTGTGGACAAATTTACAACAACTTCGGTAAAGTTATAACAATTAACACTATATTTACTTCAGTTTGGTTTAAGTTACAGCAATAGTGGACAAAGTTACAAAAATATAAGTCAATCTTACTACTATATTGGTTACAGTTACAACATATATGGATGATATTACAAACATAAAGGTAAATATACAACAGCTTGTTGTATAATTACTCTAAATGGAGATAAATTCACCCCCAAATACTTGTAACGTCACTAAAATCATCGTAAAATTACCTTAAAATGGTAATATCGTCCCTAGTAAGGGTAACATTACCCCAAACGATAGTAACATTATCCAAGTAGGGGTAAATTCAAACATAAATTCACTTAAATCGTTATAAAAACATATGAAACTACAAATGTTCTTGGGAAAATCAATGGTGAGATGACATCGAGTTGAGAAGAAACCATAGTTTGTTGTTTCCAAGATCACGATGATACTATCTACCAGAATTGGTTGATGATTTTGAGGTACGAGATAATATACAATTTAAAGTATACAAATTATTTCACGAATGCAATAAGTGGACTGGAAAGATCTATGCTTTAGCGTTAAAAAAACTGGCCAAGAATTTTGAAGTGGATTTGGTGGTGAGGAAGGTGACCTTCGCCGGACAAGATGAAAGAACAGAGGGTTTGGAGGGACAACACATCTACAAGCCAAAAGCAGTTTATGTATGGGGTTGTTAGTTGTTTACCAATATACACCTATTTTATAACTTTATTATCGATTTACAATAATTTCAAACTTATTTATCAAATTGGGATAATTTTTAAAAACAGAGTCAATATTTTCACTTCTACTTAAAAAAACAAGGTCAACAATCCCACTTTCAAATATATACTACAAAGACTCAAAGTTAAGAAAGTAATCAAACAAAGAAAATGTTATTAAAAGCGGATTCAAGGATTCGGCTTCTAGTAGGTCTCATCAATTTTTTTTAATGAGACTCACTCATCTCACACTTATCCAAAATATAATTTGCATTTAGATATTAATTTTTGGTTTACTTTGAGTTTTATAACATTTTCCTTACAAAAAAGCCCACTTCATCAAACGCTCTTTCTCTCCCTCTAATTACAAACATACCCACTTCTTCGAAAGACTATTCAATTGCCGAATGCCAGCAGACGAAAAAACAATAGACCCACCAAACATCTTCATCCTCATCATTTCATTAAGCTCTTTTTTACCTTGTTCATCATCTAATCATAATGGACTGAATTATGTAACAGAAAATTTCAGTCATACCCTTTGTAATTTATCATATTTTTAAAGATAACTCGTCTATTTTCTAAATTTTCACTGACACTACTATTAAAGTCCTTAACTAGAAGAGCAATGTTATATGAACCTAAAAAATATATTTAATAATTACAATCATTGATTTCACTGTAGACCTTAGCATTTATTGGGACCCAATATTTTTTCAATCGTTATGATTATTAAGTCTATTTTTTAAATCTATGTAATATTACTCTAAATAGAATACAATTTTACTAAATCTCTTATGATATATTTTAGGAAAAACTCCATCCACACCTCGTCTAAATAGATATATCTTCAATAAGACCCACTCTGTTTTATGAATTTTTTTATTAAAATTCAATTCAATTCAATTCAATTAAAAATATTTTTAATCGGCTCGAAATAAATTTTAATCAACTCGTATTAAATTTTAATCGACCCAAATTTTGATACGTAAAAAATATAAATTTTAATCGACTCAAATCAAATTTTAATTGGCGCTAACAGCTTACACTGAGTTCAAATCGATTCGAATTTTAATATGTAAAAAACAAAATTTAATTGACTCAAATTTTAATATATAGAAAAATAAATTTTAATTGACTCAAATTTTATATTGAAAGGTTGGTTGGGGTTATGTAGAGGTTAATTTTGGTATTTTAGATGAATTTTTTTTGTTAGAAATAGTGATTTAATGACAGAAGGTGTTGGTAATGTTTAAATATAAACTAAAAAATGTATCAGTGATATTTTGATAAATTAGAAGGGGTGGGCTGAAATTTTACCTTTATGTAATTATTTTCTTCTGATAAGGGTTCCATCTTTGAGTTTTAAAAAAAAAAAGCACTTTTATTTATTACGCAATCACTTGTTAGTTAAAAATAGAGTTGTTGATCACGTTTTTTTTTCTAGTTAAACATGATGCTGTTGATCCTACTTTTTAAAAAATGTCGTAGTTTGGTAAATAAATATTAAAAGGGCATAGACGGCTAAATTTGTTTCTATAGTTCAATAGTTCAATACACTGATATTTGAATTGTTTATCGATTGGTGCTAACAGATGGTGGCGGTTATGATGGGACCCATCTCTTATGCCATCGAAACCACTGTCGTTCTATGTCCTCAACCTCATACTATGAAGCGATTTCGGTTTAATCATTCCAGCACACTCTTCTTGGATCTATGGTAGGGTGATACCGTATGTGGTCAAGGTTTGGATTCTTCGACAGTTGGTTTATTGAACTTTGTCATTTAACTTTCTTGGGGTATTGAACTTAATAAGTATTAGACTATAGTTATTCGTCAAAAGGATTTAATGTTTAATTGCGTAAATTATTGTATTTGGTAGTTATTTACATTTGTTTGTTTCAAAGTTGCATTGAAAGATTCTTTTTTTCCCCCAATTTTTCAGGACTTGCTAGCTATATTTTTCACATTTAAGCTATGGGGAAATTACAAATAGAGCGGTCTCTTCCTTATAGGCTATGTGAATAGCAGAAAGCCTTGGATAAGCTTTGCAGCTTTATGTGTGTACATGAGGAAGAGGCTCACGAGAGGAAGGAGGCAACCAAAAATAGGCACCTAAATGAGCATTCTTTGTTCAATTAGTTGAATTTGCAATTCTTGGGATCGTTAAAAAAAAATGGATATTACGCGTGATGCTGATTATTTTTATTGTAATTTTTTTTTGTAGTTGTTTGTGCTGGATTTTGATTTTGATTTTTTTCCAATTTTGCATAAATTTTCACTACATGTGCCTCAAAGTGTTTGTTTAATTTTCTCGAAATTTAATAGATGTCTGAACTATTCAACTTTCTTTGTGAGCTTCCGTGTTATGGATTTTGTTTTTCTATGTGCCACCATGTGTTTGTTGTATTGCCTCAAAGAAAAAAAATGTTCAAATGTTCAGTTTTTCTACCACCCCCACTCCCACCCCTACCCGTCTAACATTATAGTGGATAGTTGTATCTTAGATGTTCAATATAATTCTTAATGTGTGTTGGATGTGCCTATAGCATGGTGGTTGTCTCTATAATGCATAGGGGAATACTTCACAATAATATAGATGTTTTTTTTTTTTTTGCTGCAAATGGAATTTTGAGATGGTACACACCAAATTAATGACTTTCGAGAAGACCTAAATGGTTTCTTCTCACTCATGAGCGATGAAACAGCCTGATTATGGTTGAAATTTTAAGGTATTTACTGCTTTTTATTATATAATGCCAATATGAACACATGAAAATCTTTATTTTCTGCATGCATAGAAATTTGTTCAGAATTCTTCTTTGACAAACCCAATTTTTGTTACTCTTTATTGTGATAGTACTATTGTTTTCTTAGTTTCTTGAAGTTGGTATGTGACATGTGTCCATCAAGTTAATGTTTCCTAATCGATGCCATTGGGTTCTTTGGCTATAGGTCCTCTCAAGAATCTTAGGGAAAAAAAAATATGAGAACTTTTTCAATTCAAAGAGCGAGAATTCACCAATTTTTAGGCTATCAAAATACCAGGCGTTAGATTTTTTACTAACGAGTCTTTGGTCCAATGGTACTCCTTACCTTGTGAAGATTTTATCTTTTTGAGGCTAAGAGTTCAAATCTCTCTCCCCTTCCCCCCAAAAAAAAAAGTATTAGATTCTTAACATCCAAACTGAAAGAATATCTTATTTGTGCAGTTAGTGAACACATGAGTATTTTGTTACTACAAATAGTTTTCTCCTGTAATTACTAGGAGTTTGATTCCTACTTTTTTCTTGACATCTTTAGCTATGCGCTGGTATCTTTCGGAATATTAGTGAGTGATTAGCTTGATTTGGTTCGATGATGACAGCATGATGAGAATTCTTGTGCATATATACTTTGAAAGTTTTTACCAAAAGCGTATTCTTGAAATGAAGTCGATCGATGCGAGGTCTTAGACAAATTTGTATGAGCACTATGTGTTTTGCAAGGCAGAAATTTGATCTATTGTGAGCAATTAGCTTTTTGGAGTGTCCAAGGTCATATTTTTGGAGTTTATTTTATCAATTTTTTTTGAATAGTAGATCTACATTGATTGATACTTTGTGTTATATGTTTTTTTCAAGTGTAATATTTTTTTTTTGAATAGTGTCTTCGAGCACGGATAATAACTAGTATATATATATATATACCGAAGTATTTTTAAAAATTTAATCAATGTAAGATTGAGTTTCCATATAAGAATACTCTTTTATTAAAATACTCTAACGAGTAGAATAAACATCAAATGGCTTGTGTACCCCCGACCTCCCTGTCGCCACCGCCTCCACCACCACCACCACCACCATAACCAACCAATTGATGCCTTATTTCGAAGCAAATAAAGTAATAGCATACAGGATGGTTGGAATTCAATGGAACAATAAGGAAATGAATCCAATAGCAACATCAACATCATTTTGAGCAGCCAATGTTGCAAAAATATCAGCCTCATTAGACACTGAAGAACCTCCACCAGCTAAATCAGAGAGTGCTCTAATGGCAATGAAAGGTTTCTTCTGCTGCAAACAAACCAAAGCCACTGCTGCACTTTCCATGTCAATTGGAGTTGCATTGAATTTGGAATACAAGAACTCTCTGTAGGCTCCATTGTCAACAAACACATTTGCACTAACGCCATTCTTTACCCTGTCACAATTGGTGTTCTTGGCAAACATGTAGAATTCACACATCCATTCAACACCATACCCTGTAGTAAAACCAATTCCCAAAATGATTTTTTTTGAGTCCAACACTATTACAAAGAGAGAGATGACGAGATTTGAAGTCACGACCATGGACAAGCCTAATAATCAGCAAGGAAAAATGAATTTTAAAACTAGGGGAAGGGCTAAATTACCACGAGTTTCTGGGCAACTGAAAAGTAGTGGTTGTTGACTGGAACCCAAAAGGCATGCTGCCTCATTTCAGGATATCCATCAATGGGAAATATTTCTTCTGGTTGGTACCAAACATTGTTGAGGAGGTTACCCGAGGACTCGCCAGTTTCTGTGTCATTGTAGAATTTGGAAAATTTAAGGTAGCCAACCTCTCGTGTAGTCTCCACTGGATTCTAGAGCCAGTTCATCATTAGGCCCATCTCCATACCTCTGGTTCAGAGAGGGAGAGAGAGATCAGAAATTTTGGAATTGATGTGCTTCAATACTATTAATAGTTATAAACAAAATACCTGCCAATTCCATAGGCCCGTATGAGCCCAGTACTGAGGGATGGTCACGTCTCCTATTTCGAGTTCAGGATTTCCATTCCCAGCAACTCCAAAGTGCAGAACTCTCCTTCACATTGAATAGAGTCAACAGTAATTGTGTGGTTATGCCTGCATTAAGCTACACACAACAGATTTTTAGTGGAAACACTCAAAATACTCAGAAAATGCCATACAAAGATCGCCAACCGGGTCGGCATGGCTCGTCCAGAAAAACTCGTAGCCCATAGGCTGACATTGGATCAACTCCAATGGGCCTTCAGCTTGTTATCCATTAAGTCAGTTCAAATGGGCGTACCAAATTAAAACAAACAAGGGCAAAAATTGATCCTCAAATTACATACTTTGAGTCAATTTGGTTCTCAATCTTTTCATTTGGAATTGAAAATGGAAGTTAGAATTTATTAACGGAGATGGTCGCACGTGATCACACTTGAGGTGCAATTTTTTAAAATATTTAGGGACTAAAGTGACAAAATGATAAAGTTGAAGGACCACATAATACAAGTGAAAATTTGAGAGATCAAAGTTACTTCATCAAGTGTGGTCACATGAACATATCTGTTAGTCAATCTATTAGTCAATTTAGACTATCGTTTCCGATTAAACATAAGAGATTATGAATATATTTTACCCAACAAATAATATGGAAGAAGGAATACAACATATTGTTGAACATACCATGGCCAATCCTGTCATAACAACAATAACTCTTATTTTCGATCTCTCCGAACCGAAACCTTCGTCCTGTATAAATCGAAAAATGAGAAAAAGAAAGAAAAATTACAAAGGTACCAAAAAATTGCTTGTCATTTCAGTGTTAATTTTAGCAGTATATAAATACATTACATAGTATGAGATTTGATAAAAGACGTTCAACAAAATGATCATTCGATGAATACTGTTTCAGTAGAACTTAAATTGCCCAAATCCCTTAACTTCATAATGTTATGACTAACTTATGAACATTTCGATTATGTTCCTCCTTAATCTAGTCAAAAATAGATTATCTACGTTAAAATTAAGATATTCACGTAGATAAATCCCTCCCTCCCGATCCAATTACATTAGCTATAAACAACTAAAGTTGATTGGCTAATTATTACCTGCAAAATCCAAGTAGGGATGGTTTTGATCAGCAACAAAACTTTGAGATTGGAGAAGAGGGTTCAATTCAAAACTGTTAGGCACTACAATGCCCAAGTATGGGCCCTCCTTGTTTATTTTACTTATCCTGTCCAACAGATGTGGAGAAACTGCACCATCTGCAATACTGATAACACCCACCATCAAAACTACCCAGCTCAACAACACCACTTCTATATGACCATTCATCTCTCTCTCTCTCTCTCTCTCTCTCTCTCATACACACACACAGAATTGGTGATATTTAGAACAAATGGGTGTCTCCCTCCACCTCCAGTTAGGATTTGGAAGAACCCAAAATACAAACTCCCAACGTAGGATTTATATATTGAATCATGGGACTTTACAACGTAGGATGTAAACCCTTTCTCACGCAAAACTGTGTGTGTGTGTGTGATGCCAAGAGCTATGGAGAAGTTTATATTGAAGAGAGATTGTCCTCTGCCAACTGTCTGAGACCAGATATTTTTGTGTGGGTTTAACGGATCACACGACAGTGTCACGTGGTTTTGATGACAAATAAAAAAGTATACATGTCGAATCAATTATTGTCCTTTACCACTTTATTATCAAATCTTTTTTTGAAAAAAATCAATTTATATGGCCCACAAGTTAATTTATGTGACAATATTTTATTGAGTGTATCACCAACTCACCATTCTGTCTCTCTATTTTTTTAATCAAAAAAAAGTGGGAGCGGAGCGATCAGCACGTAGTGATCTCCAAGATGTGACCATGAACCCTTTTTTTGGTATGAAATGTTCAGTTAATCATATACATACTCATTTTGAGTAATTTATCATCATACCACCTTTGAAACCTAAATAACAAGTCATGAAGACCCCATGAATCAAACTTTGATTTTTAACTGCATAGGAATCGAGGGAAATTCTAAGACGGGCACGTCTTACAGTTAGACCACCAACTCCGGGGGTGCTCTTCATACTGCCTAATGTTATGCTAGCCTTACTCTAAATTTTTTGGTAAATAAAACACAAGTCTGCCAACTGCTAAAGGCAAGAAATTTTTGTGTGGGTTAATCACACACCACACGAAAGTGTCACATGTCAAATAAAAATTTATATATGCCGAATCAATGATGGTCATTTATCACTTCACCATACTGTCTTCTTTTTTTTTTTATCAACCTCCTGGGCATGACCATGACTATGACTATGAGGGTGAAATGTTCGGTTAGTTATATCTATAGACTCTTTTAGAGTATTCTGTCACCATACTATTACCGAAGCCTAACTAACAAGACATGGGACCCCAAAAATTAAACCCTCATTTTTAATCACATAGGAGTCGGGGACGACCATAAAACGGACACGCCTTACCACTAGACCATCAGCACCGATGGTAATCACCATACTGTCTAATGTTGTGTTAAACTTATTCTAATTTTTTTCGTAAAATAACATACAATTAGAGTTGTTAATCGAGTGAAACTTTGTGAGTATGAACTCGAGTTCGTCAAGTTCATTTTGGTAAATGAACCTACAAAATTATTCAAATTCAATTCGTTTAAAACACGAGTCAAATTTGAGTCGAACTCTATCCAAATTGAATCCGAGCAGATCGCCCTTATTAACATCCTACACACAGCCGCAAGTTAGACGCGTAGAGGAATTGTTTAGGAAAGTGGGGCCTAGAGAAGAAGAGTAAAGAGTGGAATTTTATGATGCTTTGATTTTGGAGAAGCCAAGAACAATGTCGCCAACCATGAGATCCTAAATTGCTGGGGGCATGCAAGTGGCAGCCAGTAATTGGGGAATAAGTCTGATTTTTCCATTGTTAAGTTTGCTACATGGATATGAACACCCGTTGGCGCTTATACCTACGTACCCTCCTCCATGCCTCCTTAATGGACCACCATTCTCAAAATGAGTTCCAATAGATTAGTCTAAACTCGTGATTGCTACATATAAGAGTTCAGATGCAATGTAATTTTGTTGTGATTTTGAGGGAAAAGAGATCACAACTCCACAAAATAGTAGTTATGATGGGCTAACATATCGGTTCGAATAAAGAGGTTTTAGTCCTAAAAAGGCATAATCAGACCAGAGATATAAAATTATCATTAAGTCCTATCATATTTACCTTAGGACAATTAAGTTCTACTATTGATAATTCATTCCCAAGAAGTCCTAAACTTCATCAATGGTATGTTTTGTTTTAATTTTTTCTGTCTCCAGAAAACACAAATTATATTTGTTTTTATATATTTATTGAAATATAATTTTTTTTTTAACTTAAATTAAAATCTAAGTAAGCTACGCCTTTTAATTGTTAAAGCATCCACACTTTTGACACATAGGTGTTCATATGTGAGTGAATTTTACATAGTATAAAAGTCATTAGGTAAATAAGTATTTTTTATTTTATCTCTTAAATACAATGTTGTAGTTTTGAATTTTTGAATTCTTTTTTTTTAATGCTTTAAAACAATTATTCTTTTTAAAATTAATTCAAAATGTGGGAGGGAAAAATTTAAAAAAAAAAGCATAATTAGATGAACTTTTATCAATAAATGTATTCATAGATTAGTTTTTACGCTGTTAATTTATGTAATTGTATGTATTTATGATTGAGATTTGACAGTCAGGTAAATCAAAATTTAGGTGCTTAAAAAAGTTAAATATAAAAAAATAGTGTTGTACGATTTATCATTTCTATAAGTTTATATTGTTAATTACATGATTTGAGTGTTATCCACTAATTAGAAAAACAATAATTTGTTTTGGGTCCTAATAACAAATATTATTGGTAAAATATAATTGATGTGTTGATGAAAGAAATAAAATTGAAAGAAAACATACTATTGATGAAGTATATAACTTGGTGGGAATAATGGAAATAAATTATTAAAAGTAGGACTTAATTATCCTAATGTAAACACGATAGTAATTAATAGTTCTTTTTAAAAAAATAATACTTATTGGTAATTTTTCCTAATTCAAATCCCTTCTTCTAACAATCTTATACAGGAGGGTGCTAATTACTAATATGATTAGTAATACTGTATGAATTCAATAAAAAAATTGGCGAGTTTTCGTGGATAATTATTTCCTAATCAAACTTATGCTCATAGTTTTTTCTAGAAACTAAAGAATAACTTAATAAATAATACATATAATAATAACAAATAAATAATCTTTGTGTATAAGAATTATTTTAAAATTTAGATAAAAAATAAAAAATATCTAACATTTTATTTTTACAATATTAGTTAAACGTGTTAATTTCGTATACTTCATGTCTGATACTAACTTGACTTATTTGTTATTTGTTTTAATTGGTCATACCATTTATGGGTTTGTCTTGAGATATGATCAAACTTAACTTATTAATTTTATGTCAATTTTGAATCATGTTCACATTTCGCATAAAAAATTCTCAATTTTACTCAACTAATGTAATGATGCACAAAATTGTTTTCGTACAAGATCAACAGTCAAATATGTGAAAGGGTGTAATTAATGAGTGACAAACAAGCAATCAATGACAATTAAGATTAAAACAGTAAATAAGAACTCAACACAGATATTTATAGTAGTTCGATCTCGAATGACCTACTCTACTTTCGGAAATGGCAACGGTGGCCGGTGTTATTTATTGATGAACGATGGTACTCCGGAGAGTTACAATGCCTTAGAGAGAGAGAGAGAGAGTAATGAGTATAGGTTTCGGAGACCTTGGAGGCGTGCCCTCAATGTTGAGAGGGCTTACATTATATAACTTAGGTAAGACAATAGAGGCGGTAGTGTGAGGGAGAAGAATTCTATTTCTTTGGCAAGTATTGTTATGGTAGGAGATCTTCTATGTCAATCTTCATATTATCTTCTCTCGTGCTTTTATTCATCCGAAAGAGAACATTAGTTGGATTGAGTTTTACTCTCGTCTTGGATTTGTCTTGAGTAGGCTTGGCTTGGACTCGGATTGATTCTGGACTTGCATTGGAACAACGAAGCAGAGAGAAGCAGGCGCCCAAGGGGCTGTCCTGGCCTCTTCGTTCTTCTGTTTTGGGCATTGGGTGCTCTAGATCTCCTTTGATGGGTTAACTCATCTGATTGGGCTTTCCTCTTGGACTTTCTTGATTTATTTGAATTGAGCCTAGCCCAGTAAAATTCGGGCTCATCACAATGTGTTTACGATGTTCAGACTTACACCAACTACTCCCTTAAGTTCAAATACTTGCCACTGTAGCCCCGAACAAATTCAAAACATGTTTTCTAAAGAACAAAAATAACTGATGAGAAACATTAAACTTGAGATGTGTAGGTCTATGTTACATCAGCGTGCATTTTGGGTCTTCGTATGTTAAGGATAGACTCCAACTTATAGAACCCATGGCAATAACTGGTTTAGCTCGGGTATTTAGATGCTTGGGCTTTATCGGGCCTTAGCAACGGTCCACCTCTCCAGTAACATACCCAGCCCATCTTCAGCCCTCTATATAAATCAGAGCTGAGTGCACCCTTAAAGTTAGTAGAATGGTGAGTGCCGCCTTAAGGACAGCCACATAGATCATGTTTTTTTTTATTGCGATCTATCTAGTATTATTTTTATAGTGAAACCGTTTTTGTTTAATGGTATTTTTTGTCTTGCTAAGGTTTTATCTTCTTAAATTCAACGGTTCAATTTTAATTTTGATTTACCATCGACTTGTTGAAAGATTGAAAAAAGCAACTGCATAAATGTATTTAAGTCCAAGGCTTTATAATATTTGAGCCAAACATGAATTGATAAGTCTAGAGTTAGCCAAAATTAGTGTAATGACCAATAAAAATCGTACCCATTGCACAAAACTCTATCGCCTATTGGGAGATCCTAAAAAAATTATTGGTAAGTAATTTATTCCCGATATGGAACTAGACTACGATTGAATTTTTAGGGAAAAAAAAACTAAAAAACAATCAATAAGGAAACACAAAAAACAAGCTTAGGCTTCCTGAATTTAGACATTCGTCATTTTCAAGCTTAGGCTTTGCCTTGTCCAGCTTTGGAATAGGCCGACATGGACCAAGGCTAATGAAATTTCCTCATTAATAAGATCAAAGAAGTTTCAGTTCCGATTATGTATCATAGCGTAATACACTACTCCATCCACAAATTATCGAAAATGAAACATGGTGTTCATCATCATCCAGTTTTGGATCATCAAGGAATGAGAAAATAAATCAACAAGCAGCTTTCTGAAATAATTAATCAAACTACAATATCATAATACACGAAAGCATTGTGATAGCCAATAAAAAGGAATCAATAAGTTGTTGATATTTCCGTCACTGTGTGATCTTGAAAGGATCAGATATACGGACGGGGAGAAGTTCTTGTGCTTCGAGCTCTTAACACCCAAATGACAATAGAACATTGATATTCAAACGGAAATATATGAGGTCACGGAAATTCTGAGGACTTTATAATGTTATAGCACAACTAATTCCAACAAAGAATGCATAACATCATGAGCAATCAGTCTTAGGTTTTAGCAGATTGAGTGCTCATGATGTTACATCATCTTGTGAAGTTGTAGTGTGCCATCCCATACCCAAAAGCCCTTTTCATTAAAAACCACCACCAAGAGCCGGAGCCCAATAATCTGCTCCATTGTCACTCCCAACTTGCATTGTGCATGATATGGGAACTAGGCACAACCCTCTGCTCCTCAGGTCCTTGTTTGGTTCTTCATGAGAATCCTAAAAACATTTAAAAATGTTCTTCCGATCAATTCAATTCAATGATAATAAGACTGAAAAACTAAAGAGAAAAAAAAAAAGGATTATTATTTGTTAGGCAATTAAGTACCTGCTCAGAAGCTGCTTTCCTCTTCATGCAGTTGTCATTCACCAGCTATTTGAGACACGGCACAAGAAAAGACTTAGCAATTTCATTGGTTTGTGTATCCTCCATTTATAACTTTTTTCAGGTACTTGAAGCAGTAATATTATTTCGAGAAAAAGCAGGAACGTGCAATATAGTTTAAGGCATGTCCGATAAGGGATAATAATAAAACAATAGGATCATAGAGAGATATCCAAGGGTAAATTTTACTAATTAATCTCGGGAAACGTAATTTCAAAGCCCATGAAACTAGATAACTATGCCTCTTTCATACCTGAGACTTGAGGAATAATGTTTGCCTTCACATAAGAAGGGAACTAGGCTTCTCTCACACAATTCGAGTCGATTATGCACAATACTGTACTACATATTCCTAAAGCTACTTCTCTCCTTTCATTGTATTCGGTCCGTTCATCTACACATGGGGTGGGTAATTTGAAAGTACTTATATGTATGAACTAGTAATAGCCTTGATTTTAAAGGAGTCCTTGTCAAACTTAAAGAATGTAAAGCTGGAAACCTTGTGCTTCCAACACATATTCTCTGGAAAGTGCACAGTAATTAAGGTTGTGGCCTTTTCAACAACGAAGTAAGCTTTCCTAAATGCCTTGCGAAGGTAAAAAAATGAATCCAATAAAGTATACCTGACCAGGGTCTTCAGGAAATAAACAATTCCTTTCCCCTTGAACCTAGTAAGTAAATACAATGATTAATCAATTAATGCTGAATAGTTTACACAACATACAGTACCACATGCTCATAAGTCATAACTACAGTTTTAAAGAGACCCACATGCATATAGAGGGATGGAGGAAGGGAGGGAGGGAGGGAGGGAGGGAGAGAGAGATGGTGCTTGGGGAAAGTGAGAGAAAAAGTTTAAATAGTTTCTTACAGACTGTTTCTGCTTCATGTTTCTTGATCCACTGCCCAAGTACGGCAAGCTAAGGGCCTGCTTTCATGGGAAGAAGAGAAGGAATATATTTTGAGAACTTCAATAATAAAGGAAGTTGAAGGATCACTTGCATATATGTGACATATTCATGGCAGTTTGCTAAAATAAAAAAGGAAGAAACATCACCTCAATTTGATTCTGAAGGAATCTAATGTACCCAATAGCTTCTAACAATACAGAAGCAGTGTCAGTCTGCAGACAAAAATATAAAAACAAAAAAATCATCACAACCCCAAAAAAAAAAGAAAAATGTCACACAACAAATTAAACCTAAAAATTATAATTCAAGTGCATATCATCTCTTAGATAAGCGTTAGATGAGTGAGTTCTACTAAAAAAATTTATGGAACTCACTCATCTAATAAATGATATGTATTTTGAATTGTGATTTTTTTGGTTCGATTTGAGTTATGTAACATTAGTCACCCAAAAAATATTGGGTATCACCATCCAATAAACACATAACAAGTTGGATCTCACATATTATAGTAATCATTCTGCCATCTTATTTAATACACACCCAAAATAGAGTTCACCTCCACATGTCATTGGTGACACAGTGTGAACATTACACTCAATATTTACTCCAAAAAGTTATATATTAATGAAAGAGAACCTAACTTAAGGATAAAAAAAATCCTAGACCTAAGCCACTAGGAATTTAGGCTAGCTAAATGCATTATTTAGAAGCTTACCTTCCCAAAAGGGGAAACTAGCTGGTGAATGGCTGTTATTCTGTCACCCAATTTTTCCTTTCTCACCTGTTTGAAATAATATATGCATAGAAGAAAATTAAAAAATCTGATGAGTTCTTACAATAATTATCTCACTTTCTATCTTGTTGAGAGATTTTTTTTTCTTTCTTCTGTGGATGTGATAAGAGATAGATAGAGAATCGTCATGCTTAAATAAATGGACAATCAAGAAAGACAACCATTATCTTCCAAATTAGCTGAAAATGAGACAGATAGAGGATGGAGAGAGAGAGAGAAGCATTGAGATGTGTTAATTGCCTTGAAGCTGGTTTGAGTTGAAGATGGTTGAACCCTAGCTTTCTTAGGTGCCCCACCAGTGGCAGTGCTGTTGCACTTCACAAAAAGAAGAAATGAGACAATAAGAATCCTTATTATTAACACAACCGATAAATCTAACCGAAAAAGCCTAAATCATTTCTGAGACATCCTTGAGGAAAAAAAAATTCGACAGAGAATATTTTTGGGTTGATAGTCCATTTTGACCCATGCTATAAATCTCAGAAAATTGCTAAAGGTAGATCTCTCTCTCTCTCTCTCTCACCTCTGAAGAATGATCCGGTGGTGGGTGCCTCACATCTGCCTTGTTGGGAGCAAAATCCAACATGTTACTACTTAGACTCGTAACGCATGATTTGGAAGAAGAAACTGGAATCATGTGAGACCAAGTAGGTTTGGCTGCTTGGATTTCCAAACTTCCTTGATTATAGACATAGCTTCTTGCTGAGTTTTCTTCCCAATTCTCCAACTTCTTGGCCTGAAAATGGCTCAAATCACACTTCTCTTCTTCACCACCCCTGCAAAACCGCATCATAATAATCTCTAAATTATTAACATTATATATATACACTCATACACATATATAAATACTAAAGAGTCCAAAAACATGGCAGTTGCACAAGGATCAGATGAAATTAAGTATAAGTGTATGATAAACATAGTTCAACAACAAAGTCTTTTTTGGATCCGTAGATATGGTTATATTGATCAAAAAATTAAATATACAACATAATTCAAGGTATGTCAAAGACTTCCCCAGTTATATTCTCAACCACAAAGTTGATCAAAGGATGTATTGAAGTACAGAAGAAGTCTTTAATACACAGAAGTTGTGACTCAGGAAGCCATGTATGTAGCTCTTATGAGTGAGAGTGTGTGGGTGTGCGAGAGAGAGAGAGAGAGAGAGAGAGAGAGATTTTACAAGAGTAGCTGGCTCCAAGACTCTGGAAGCTCCTGGTTATCATGCCATGAAGATGACAGAGGAAGTGAAGAAGATGTAGGAGGAGGAACGAAGAAAGGAGAGGACTGTTGATATGGCGGCCTAATGTCACTGATCTTCCACCAGTTAGGACTTCCGGCCACCATTTGTTGCACCGGTGAACTCTGCAAAACACCTCGATTCATGGCTTCCCTCAAGAAAAAGACCAGAAAATTTTTCTTCACTTTCTTTCTTCCCTTTGTACTCTCCCTTTCTCTTTCACTTTATCTTTCTTGAAGCTCACAAAATGGTCTTTGTAGAAATTTTGGCAGGTCTTCCAACTATTGATTATGTAGAGGAAGTTCACAAAAGTCCTGTTTTAGAGAGAGAATTTTGAATCATGAAGTTTGAGGACCTTTGTCTTTCTTTCTCCTCTTTCTCTGCTTTCTTTATTAGCTCTCCTTTTTCTTTCTTACTTTTTTTTTTCTTTTGCTTTATCATCAAAGGGGCAGAAAAAGTTGGAGCAATTCTCATTAGGTGAAAGAGCTAAAGGGCAAAACTTGTGATCCTGCTATGGTGACCTTAGGGCACCATATTTCCATCATGCCAATCTAGGCCTATGACATGCGTTCAAAGGTAACTTCAATCCATGTGTCACGGCGATACTTAGAGGGATGACAAGTATTCGTCTACCCAAACATTATGTCTTAAGTTCGACTTTAGATATCAATTTTTCAAAAATGAGAATAAAGATATTGACAACTTATTTATCTTAAACCCTTTTTATAAGCGAGAGTCATGTGCCCCGAATATGACAAGTTTTTAGTTTCATCCTTTTAGGTCTCTAGTGTCTGTTATTATTTGCAATTGTATTACAAGTCTAATGTATGCAGCCTGTAGACTGTGTAAATTATAAGTCGTTCAAATTATGATACAAAAAAATTATTTTTTAATATTATATCTTATTTTTTGTCAATTAAAGATATACTACGTCAAAAAAAAATTATTTATTATTTTCATAATCAATTATTACAAATAAATAAAACAACAAGGTCTATTATTAAAAACCACTTTTTGGTACAGTTTTGGTACTTTAGGCTGTACACACACATATAGAGGAAGAGAAAGGGAAGACTATGGATACATGTGTGTGTGAGAGAGAGAGAGAGAGAGAGAGAATAAAAAAGAGAAGTGTACAGAAAAAGACAGGGAGCCCCCAAACAAAGATGTAGAATAGAAGTACAGACCAGACATCCCAGCTCTTACCCACCCTTTATCTTCACTCAACTCCCCAAAAAATTCCATGTTCCTCTTAGTCACACTCTCTAGATTTAAGGGTTTGCTTGTTTGCTATCTCCATTAGAATGGAATTCTCAGAGAATGTGTCAGGGAAAATACCATAAATTATACCAAGGGAATACTTTTACTATATTATTATATTCAACCAGTTAAATAATAGAGTTTATAATATTTTTGCAAATTTGTTGGTCGATTATACAAAGACAATAGTGTCCCTCACCTATGCACGATGGGTAATTTATCGTTGAGTGAAATTGCATAAAAATATAATAAAACATATGTGTACGTGTGTGTATCAGTACATGTGCATAACACGATTTGATCGACAAGTTTTACCAGGTAAGACCCTACAAAAATTGATGTTGATGGATATTTGGACTTGCATGAATACATAATTAGTGTTGGCATGACTATCACTGTCATGAGCATTAGATATATGTTTATATATTCTAAATGAAATTAATAATGTCTGATGAAATAGACAATTTTTGAAACTTGGAATGTCGTTTCCTTGTGCTCAAAGGTTACCCGTCAAAGGGTTTGTTATTTTGTTTCATCTTGTTCATGCTTGACATTGGATTCCCCCTAACATGCTTAATGATTCTCTTGAAATTATCGAATATTTTTCATTATGATCTCAAGGGAGCTTACTTTATAATTTCTTGCAATTACCTTTTATTGCAACCTTAATGCCCTAATTTTGGTTAGATGTAACGGTTATATCATGTCAACAATACTAATATGGTGTAACCGTCGAATACAAAATGGATAAGATGGGGATCATTTCTTATCATTGAGGTAGTTATGCATTATATGAGTAGGTGGTTATGAATTTTTGTGGGACTGTTTGGCATATTTTTGGATTGTCGGCGTGACAAAATTCAGGTGAACTTAAAATCTAAATACATACAATTTTACCTACTCAAACCAATGTGGAGTTTTATAATCATGATTGTTCAGACAATTGTAGCGAGCCGTAAGGTTACATCTAAGTTCTTTTTTATGCCTTGGAACTTCAAAGACTTTAAATAATTTTACTAGATAAAAACGTATGGACTATGTTGTAAGTTAAGTAGTAAGAATGCAAAGTAACAACTAAGTAGAATTCAAATCTAGAAAACGAAAACGAATACTAACTTGGCATTAAATGAAAACAGTAAAAGATCACCAGAGTTACAAGAAAAGTAAAATTATTCGGAAGCAAAAACAATGAATAATATAGGTTGGTTCTGTGAAGAGTTTTTTGTGATTAATCATGTGATCTTTTCTAAGTGACCTAACCTCTGCTATTATAGAGATGACTCTCGGTTGTCGATTTATCTTTTTCGGTCATTACTTACAATCATAGTTTTGCTCTTTGAAATACGTGAATGTACATTAAATCGTTTTTAACTGGCAGCTCATAATGTCATATTTTCTTGTTTCTCAAAATTCTAAAAATCATACTCTTCTAACCTCCCTATCAACCATGGACTCTCACAGACTCTCTTGTGACTGTCATATCCCGTCCACGTGTTACTCTTTAATCTTGCTATTTTTAGGTGTAAACAAGGACACATTTGCAGACTTATTTATTTATTAGTAGTTAGTTACACTGCGTAGCATTATTGACATATTTGTAACGGTTACACCCAATATATTTTTTTTTATCTTGGTGTTTCTTCTGTCAATAAACCTTTGACAAATACTTACCCAAAAAAACCCTGGGAACTATGGATCGGTACGGGTCTGGGCTTGCCCGACCCACACGGCAATTGCTCGTTCCCAACATGGGCCATCCCATAATAGGGTGGGCTACAGGCTTTCCACTGGGCATCAACCTTAATGGTTTTAGTGAGCTATTGATGTGATTTCTGGTTGTTAGTTTATTCGAATATGACAATACACAATACAAAAATTTCAGTCAAAGTAATATAACTAGGTACATCTCTCCATTAAAAACCAAAAGTAAAACAGTGTAAAATCAATGTATACATGTCATTAAAGAAAGAAGCCTGCTTGGCAGACAAGCAACAGACCATGTTCTATTTACACAAAATAAACAAATCAAACAATCATTTTCAGTAGGAAATTAACAAAAGATAATCATATTTCTCTCCTTTTTTTTCTTGTAGATCAAAATTAAATACTAATCCCAATGTTCCAACCATCATGCCGACGTTTCTTTTTTAACTACTATTCTTTTGCCTTTCTATGTATGATAAATTAAAAAAACAAAACTTCCCACTGCTGTCTCGTTCTTATCCACTCATTGAACACCACATTGTATGCACAATTTTACAATAAAAAATTGTGCATACAATGGTTTTCTCTTCGATTATAATATAACTAGTCATAACTAATGATTGTAAGTACGATAAAATATAAAATTCTAATATTTAAAAAATTGATCTCACTATACTAAATTTAAAGTTAATTTCTTTGCTTACATCATTTAAAATTAATTTCTACCTATTATTTTCTTTAAAATAGTGTCAATTTTTTTTCAAAATATATAACTTGATATAATTTTTTAACATGTGTACATTATTGTGCATAAATAATGTATGAAATAAAGGTTGTGTTAAACTACAAATTAACTAAATATTAAATAATTGAACATGTAATATAATGAGATGATGTGATGTTTTTCAGGAGAAAAATGTATGGTGGATAAAATTTAACTTGTTAACTGATTTATTATATAGATTAAAGGATCTTTCAATTCATTTTGTAAGAGAGAGAAGAAAAAATGATGATGCTATGACGCAGATTTTATTTTTTCATATTGAAAAAATAATTTTTGATCGTAAATATGTATTTGATCTATTCGTAAACTTAGCCATATAATTTTTCTAAACTCTTACGCGTTCACACTCTACGAGCGATTTCTCCATGATTGCGATCTTATTTTGTAAAATTCACAAATTCAATTTTTCAATTTACGAATTCAACTAATTCGCGTTCTCATTTTAAAAAATTTCTTAAATTCAATTTTTTAATTCACAAATTCAACTAATTTTCACTCTTACTTTAGTATATGTTTACTTGTTATTGCTCAAATTTTTATTTAGAAAGTATTAACCTAAACCTGAAGATAAATATCAAGCCATAATTATATTTGTAAACCATAATCTTCATTTTAGGACTTTATAATTAACATATATTTATAAATTAAATAAATTGTCTTATAGTTGTGAATTAAAATTTTTTTTTTTATATTTTATTATATTAAATTTATATGGGTGAATGTACGTTTGTATGTATATAATATAAAGAACACTTGTTGTCCATGGAAGACACACACTTGGGTTGAAGTGCAATAGCAGGCGAGCAACCCGATTTCTTTATCAAAAAAAGGCCCATCTTGTCCAACAATCATTCTGAGTGGGTGTACAAGACTAAGCGAACCATACTATATTTGCACATGATGCTCTCATGGTGCTCTCACTTTCAATTTTTTTTTAATTGACACTTTTGCATCCCGCCCCCACTCTATATGATCTAGTTTGTAATCATCGATTGTGAGAATAATGAGATTAAATAATAAAAATAATTTTTTTTTACACATGTCACTTCAGAAAAAAGAAAATGTGAAACTAAAAAATGACTTTCAATATTACACTTGAATTCGATAAAAAATCAAAAAAAAAGATTGCTTATGCCCTCCCCCTCCTCTCGAATAGGATTGATAAAGGAATAATGTTATGCCTACCAAAATTTTTATCAAATGAGTTGGTAGGTCCAAATCCAATCAAAAACATTTTGATCGGTATTTGGTGGGTCCAAGAATGATTTAGAGCTACTAATTCCTTTGCTAAAAACACTTTTTGTTGGAATGTGACCCAAATTCTTTAATTATCATGATTGAGAGTTTGTTGGATAATCAATATAAGAGTCATAATAAACCATGTATAGGTTTATTAGTGACCAAATCAAATAGAAAACCAATTAGAAGACTTTTAATATAACATAAATAGGTATATTAGACATGTAATAAGAAACATAAAGATTTATCCGAATAGGTTTGAGTTATAATATTTTGTCCCTATAAATAGAGTTGAGTATTATGTAATCAATTATCAGATAATCAATTTTTCAGTGAATAATACATCGATGTAGGTTTTTGGTCTA